GTAGCCACAAACGGCAACGGCGCCTCCAACGGCCCGGCCGGGCACGCGGGGGCGGGCGGCGGCAGCGACGACGACGAGAGCGATGAGGAGAGCGATGAGGAGCCGACTGCCGCGCCGCCGCCGCCGCCCGCCGCCGCCGGCGGAGGAATCGATTTGCTGGGTGCGAGCAGCAGCTTACCTCCCCCGCCGCCGCCGCCGAGCCCACGGCTGACGGCGCGCCCCCTCTCTCCGCCGCAGGCCTCGAGGACGCGCTGCCCGCGCCGGCGGCGGCCCTCGCCCTCGCGCCTGGCGCGTCGCTCGACCCAGCCGTCTTTCAGCAACAGTGGGGCGCACTGCCGACGGCAGACTCGTGGCAGCATCGCACGTCCCTCTCGGTTCCGCTCGAGCAGCTGTCGGCGCGGTTCGGCACGCGACACGTCAAGACGATGGCTTTCGGCACCGTGGGGGACGCGTCCAAGTTCTACTTTTTCGCGCGCGAGGCGGGCGCTGCCGATACGCTGCTGTTGTGCGAGCTCGTCGTCACTCGTTCGACTGGCGTCGCCGCCGCCACCATCAAGGCGACGGCGCCCGCACCCGTGCCGCTCTTCTCTTCCCTCGTGCGCGAGCTGCTCTCGAGCTGATTCAGCGATCCAATCTCTGCGGCTCTCGGCGGTTGGGTGCCGCACAACTGTGGGGTCCCGTGATGGGAACGATGGAGAGAGCCGGGGCGTAGTATAGGCGCCAAAGGTGACGCATCTCGCATTGTGCTCTCTTGTTCCTACGGCTTTTAGAGGCTAGAGAGGCCCGCCATTATTGGTCCGCCACGCGCCCCTACGCCCTATAGTGACCGATCTTCATGCTCAAACAAACGCATGTCAGAGAAGCCTGTGCATGCGCTGGTCCTCTTTGATGTTTGAACGGTCCGCGCGTGAGGTACCAGGTAGCATAGGGCCTTTTGTTCTGGGCGGCCCAGTCTGGGGGGGGCAGCAGCACAGCTTCGCTTGAGATGTTGGTTGTTGCGCTGCGGTTGGTTGCGATGAGCTGATTGGGATCGCAGAAGTGCATGCCAAGCACCGCCTCAAAGCTCAATCTTGAAGCAGAACACATCGCAACCGCATCGTCCGCACTGCCATCGGCATGCCGCGCCCGCCGCTTCGCTGTGCACCTGCAGCCGCCTGCGACGGTGTATCATTCACTGTATGCCACCGTTGCATATCCGGATATGCAACGGTGGCATAAAGTGAATGATACACCGTCGCAAAACTGCAGGATATGCAACGGTGGCATAAAGTGAATGATACACCGTCGCACCGCCTTAAGACACGCATAGCGGCAGCACATGGATCATGGTACGGTGCGGGTACTTGAGCAGGCGTTTGCGCGCCGCACAAGTAGCGCACTGGCCCTGGGAGGAAGCGATATGGCGTCGTGCACGGCATACGTTGGTCGGGACGCGTCAAGGTATTTTTCGGGTAAAAACCTGGACTTTTTTTGACTTTTGCAGGTATACCCGGGTTTTTTACCCGGAGTTGGCCTTGTGTCGTCTAACGGTTCATGGCCCCCGACCACAAAAAGCGTCTAAGTACTAAGGAGTAAGGTAAGGTAAGGTAAGGTAAACGTCTCCACACACAAAAGTGGTGGGGCAAGGGGGGGCGACCCTCGCATCTCCACGCCCGGGACACGAGCAGGAGCCCCCCGGTACTAAGAGGTCTCCCGCCGCCTACGACTTTAAGCGCTGAGGCCTGAGCCCGGCTCCGTGTGCGGGGGCTAAGTTGAGCGCTCGCTCGCTGCAGAGGCTAAGTGTAGAGCGACCCTCTCTGCCCTACGACCCAACCATTGTCAAACAAGGCTTTACGTAAACCTCAAGAAAACAAAGCGGGCTCAAACCAAAGTTCCACAAAGTAACACGACATGCCGATCTCACTGACACTGTCTCGCTGTAGTATACGCGCGTATACGCGGGGCTACCGCGCAACGGCTCTGGTACACAGCCGCTAGCTACCTTACATGGTCACCACATGCCGTGCGACTGTGTCATCGAGCGGCGTGATGTCGGTTCGCTCAGATGACCTTGAGCTTTACGAGCTCAGTGGCGATACCGTCGAGCAACCTCACGTCGTCGACATTGTAGGGGCGCGCCGTGACCGGGGTGGCCGGGTCCGTCGCCGCGCCCCCTCTGCTCTTGGCGAGCGTGGGCGCGAACGCAGCGCGGAGGTCTTCAGGCGTGCCCTCGCGCGCGTCAAAGTGCGACGGCGCAATCATCCGGAAGTCCCAGCGCGCGAGGTCGTCGACCCAGCGCGCGAGCTCGGGCTGGACGCGGTCGCTCGCGTAGATGAGCGAGTCGGTGACGGGCGCCACCACCCACCGCCCCTCGAGCGCCTGGAAGGACGGCTTCGGATCGACGATCGTTGCTGGCGACGGCCCAAAGAAGAGCGAGAGGACGACGTTGCGCTCCCAGCCGCGCTGCAACTGCTCCGCCTCGCTCCCCTGCCGCCCCGGCGCGTCGCTCGTCCAGAGCTGGCCGATGTCCTTCGAGCCCGTGCCCTGCCAGTTCACTGCGCCCGCCGCGCGAAGGATGAGGCTGCCGAGCGAGCTGCTCCTCTCCGCGTTGTCGCCGATGGCGAGCAAGTTGGCCTCGTCGTACACGCGCGTCGGGGCGGAGGGCACGTTGACGAGCGCGTCGGTCAGCGCGAGGGTCTTCGTGTCCTTGTGCAGCAGCGCCGCCTCGTTCGCCGCGTACCCGAGACCGAGCCGCCTCCGCGGGTGCAGCAGCTTGACCTCGAACTCAGACGTGAGGTCGGGCGCGCCGGCATAGGCGGCAGAGCCGCCGGCCGTGTCGACGAGGTCGCCGCCGCCCGAGCCCTTGGTGTCGATGCCGAGCAGCGGCGACGGGAGGTCTACCGGGAAGGACCACTGGTCCGGCACCGCCCACACCTTTGCGGCGGGGAAGTGGCGCGAAAATGAGGGGACAAAGACCTTGTGCTCGTACGGCGTCGCGCCCAGGAGGATGTGGGAGACACCGTCGCTGTGGAGGGCCTCGAGCTGCTGCAGAAACTCCTGGGTCGGCGCCACCGGGTTGTACACCAGCAAGTGGTTGTCCCGCATTCGGAAGACGGTGCTCCGAATGTTCGCCGAGATACCCGAGAGCCGGATCTCCTGCTCGAAGCTGTAGACGCGATCCTTGACGAGCTCCGTCTCGACCGTACGGCGCTCAGTGAACGGGCCGAGCGGAAAGGGAAAGCCGGTGAATAGGAGGTATTCGCGGCTGGGGGCCGCGGCGGCGGCCGCACGTTGCTCGATCGCCGGCGGCTCGGCAAAGGCGATGCCGGAGAGCGGTGACTGCGGCACGGCGCTGGAGAGGAACACGGCCAGCGCTAAGAGGCCGCCCTTCGCGCCGTGGCTCGGGCCGTGGCTCGGACCGTGGCTCGGGCGCGCGCTGCGGAGCAGCGACCGGGCGATCGCCATACGAGCGAGACGGCTCGGCAAGTGCATCGACACCTGGGCTCGTAGGAATGCTCGTGCCGAGGAATGTATGGGAATTTTCGAGAGGAAAGGACGGTCCTGTCTCCTCTCTCTCTCTCTCTCTCTCTCTCTCTCTCTCTCTCTCTCTCTCTCTCTCTCTCTCTCTCTCTCTCTCTCTCTCTCTCTCTCTCTCTCTCTCTCTCTCTCTCTCCCCCCCCCCCTCCCTCTCTCTCCCCCTCCCTCTCTCTCCCTCCTCTCCCTGAGGGCCCAACAGGAGAATCGTGCTTTGAGTGGGGTTGTTTGGTGTTGGGTTGGGTTTTGGTTGCGTTGGGTTGTTGTTCCGCGTAAGGTTGGGTCGTCGGCGCGAAGGGTGAGGTCTCGACCGCCGCCGCTCACGCCAGCGGACGGCCACCATCGGTGTTTTTGGCTTCGCCACCGTCCAAAGCGTGCGCAATGAGCTCGCCGGCATCGAGCGAGCACGCCTGTCCGACGAGCGGCTTGCTGTGCGGACGCCTTCTCGTGGCTCTCGCCGAGAGCGTTTTGCGTCCCGGTGGGTGGGAGAATATGTGATAGGAACGAGTGTATCGCTTTGACGGATCGACCGTGGCTTGTTATCAAGACCGATGTGACGCACACAGTGACACATCAGACGACATGGCTCGTACTCGAGTATAGGAATTCAGGTGGGGAATTTTCGAGGAAAGGACGGCCGCTCGCTCCTCTCTCCTCTCTCTTGAGCACTTGAGCACTGGATAGGGCCGATTCCGCGTGGTACGGGACCCCTCGATCGTCTCGCCCTCCCTCACTGGTGTGTTCATCGGGGGGGGTCATAACAAACACGGTACAGGATCGAGGTGCACGCTGCCGAAGCAGTGTCGTCCCCCCTCTCCCCGACGGCGATGGCGGTGTGACCGATCGAGCTACAAGAGGAGCTCGTTCAGCAGGATCCGGGTTGGTCTGGCGCACTACCTCACTGGGCCTGAGATCGCACGACGCTTCCCGTCACCGTCTCGGGTTTGTGTGGGATCGAACCACTCCGGGATGGGCAAGCCCATCAATTTTCACTGTGTTTCTCCCCTGCACCTGCAGGGGATAACGGGGGAGGGGTTGGCTATATCTGGGACGGAGGGGAAGAGGAGGAAAGGGAGGACGGGGGGGGGGGGGGACTGAGGAGGGGAGCGGGGGGGGGGGGCTCAAAAAACCAAAAGCTGCTGTCATAACAACTCGGAATCCTATTACACCCCCCAAGACTCGTAGCAACTCCCAAACGTATTACCCCCCCAGAGACTCTTTGCAAGGGGAACCAGTGCCCTCCTCAGGGGGGCCAACCCTCACGCCGGGGGGGTCTCCTCCCCTTTTTCTGACCCCCTTTCCCTCTATCTCTCTGACACCGGCGAAGGGGCGGAACCGCCCCCTCCGCAAGGCTAGAAACCTGGAATTGATGCAGATATAGCTCTGCAGGCTATGGCTGGACATTTTGCGCGCGCGAAGGATGTGCGCGAACTGTCTCGAACGCGCGCTCGCCGCGCCCTTTAGCGGAATCCTACTGTCATGAAACGAATATGCTGGACCGC